GTCATACATGTGCACGTTTTGTCTTAGAGAATCAATATAGGCTACAGTAAATATCTTGTTCAGTACCAGAAATGTTTGTGTTAGTTGCCTGACCATAATCAGTTGGGCATGTCAACCCAGGTGATGATGCATATTGCATCTTTGTTCATGAGTCAAAGTACTGTAAGAGCATAGTGGCTGGATACTTTTTTTTTTTTAAGTTTGATGGATGACTCAAGCCAGGCCGACTAGGGATTTGCATCTAGATACCTGGGAAAAGCATCCATCGGAAGCCGTCTCTATTAACCGGACTGAAAGTATTTCTAACTGGAACCCACCTGAAAGGTTGGGTCCTGTTTTATTAAAATCTTTCACTGTCGGGTAAATTTGGCTGTGATGAATGTGCCTTGTGTATAAAAATCATTTTAGATATCAGAAGGAGTATACTGGCTTTCGTTTATTTTCGTTGTACTCCTGTATTCCTTTTTCGGGTGATCATCTCTCAAATAATAATAATAATAATAATAATAATAATAAAGGCTTTGGAAATGTACAAAGTCTCCTCGGTGATAGTAATTTTCCTTAAATGTGGTATGGAAATGGGGAAAAGTACATTAGTCAAACGTACTGCCACTAGGAATTGTTTGAATATCCGGCGAGGAATCTTTCAAGGAAACTCCATGTCACCCTTTCTGTTCTGTATGTCCTTAAACCGCCTTTCGCATGAACTAAACAGTTATAACTATAGATACAATGTAAAAAAGAAAGTGTTTTAAAACCTATTCTACATTGGATGATATCAAACGCATTGCCAAAGACAATGTGTTGAAGTGTATTCTCAATACTGTAAAATGTTTCAGTGATGATAAACAGCACGAATTTCGGATTAGATAAATGTGCAAAAGTAACATTCATGAAAGAGAGAATTACAGAAACACACTGAATAGATCTAGATTTTGTCACAAATATTAAGGAAATGGAACAAGTAGACTCCTATAAATACCTAGCAGCCAGTGTAGGAAATGGCATAGAGCATACCCACCTGAATGGGGAAGTAAGAAAAAATACTACAAGCGTGTGCATTTTTTAAGCATTTCACCCCTAGCAAGGCGGGAGTTCTGCTAGTATGAAAGGAGCTAAAGAGAGTAAGGGAAAAGACTGAGTATAGGGGGTTGACGAAAGTAAAAAAAAAAAAAAAGAACAACAGAGGAGGAGGATAAAAAGACGAACGGAGATCAAGGCATCAGAAGATGTCGATTGACATTACATTTAAATCTTAGAAGATTATAATTACCTAGTTACCAGGGAAGCAAGTAAGAGGAAGGGAGCTAAACAGTTGGGAAGTGCGAGAAAAGAAACTGTTGTCGTAGAAGAGGCGGTTACATTTAACTGTTTCGACAGTAGAAGGGTGGGACCGAGATGCCAACCTAGTAGCACGCTTAAATTTATGTAGTCTGGGCACCAGTGCAAATAGCTCGTCAGAGCAGATGCCATGAAAATATTTATAGAAAAGACAGAGGGAAGCCACATTACGTCGATGAGAAAATAACTGGAGTCAAAACCCCAAGTCAGGCCCGATCACATTGCATATGCGTCTTTGGATTTTGTCGAGAACCCCGAGATGAACAGCGGAGGCACCAGACCATATATGGCAACAGTATTTCATGCATGGAAAAATGGTAGATTTGTAGATGTGAATAATGGACACAGAGAACCAACTTTCCTTGCAGTAGATGTAGCTATTGATTCAATGTAGTTGTTCCACCTCAAGTCAGTGGAAAACGTGAGACCAAGAAGGTGCAGTGAGGTTCTCTCTTGGAGTTGAGCATTAACTACGTTGACTGGAAGCAGGGACGTTTCTTTATGTTGAGTAAATGACAGCAGTTTCTTTTTGGATACAGTAAAATTCACAAGCCATCTCCAGCCCCAGTCAACTGGAAGTCGTTTATACCGAACTGTATTCACAAAATTGAATATTAGCCAAAAAATCACTTTGTCTGTTCCTGTGGTGCAATTTAGTTTCAATATCCTTAATTGGACCATTACTGATCTTAAGCGATTGGATGTCAAAACGAGAAAGCTTCTCACTTAGCACTGCATGCAACATCCTAAGGCTGATGTTGGTCGTCTGTATGTGTCCAGATCCGAAGGAGGCAGAGGAATAGTTCTTAGAACTGTCTTACAAAACCGCAACAATTGGTCTTTAAAGATAACTGGAAACTACAGAAGACTGGATAATTATCTGTGTCAAAGAACATGAAAGAAACAAGAAACTTTATTCTGTAATAAAGTAATCCAATACATCCAAATAAGAATTACAAGGGGGTTAAGAAATGCAAATAAATACACTTACTGAAGCGACAAAGATTAAAAAAAAAAAAAGCAAATGCAATGTGCCAAATGCAGAAACGATAGTAAGATAAACTTCTTCATGGTCAATACTCTGCCTTTACCAAACAAGTTGATGTATACAAAGTACGCATGCGTCAGTAGTTATAAGCTGAAACCGAAGGTTTTATTCTTACTGCACAGAACCAATGCTTGCCAACTCGAAATTACCAAGCACACATAATGAAAAATTGAGTTCACCCTAAAAGCATATTCCGTGATAAATATCCCAAAACAATTGACCATCTAGAATCATGTTGCACAGTGTTAGCACCAATTGAATATAAAAGTTGGCTTTATAGAGGGGACCACTATCTGTAGTGGAAAATATGCTACTTTTTGCGAGAAGAAAACTGCAACAAACTGGTATGAACAGAGCCGGTTACAGAGATAAGACATGTAACAATTTTATAGCACTTTACAATACCTACAGATAAAACAATCAACAAATCTAATCGCCCAGACATCTTGATCAAAGACCACAAGAACAAAATGTGCGCTCTCATTAACATGGCAGTCGATCAGTAAAATTAATCTCTAACCACCTTATCGACCACAAAATTAGACTTTTTCTTTTTAAAGTAAATAACAACGATAGTGAACACAGTCAAAAATAGCATAAATATTTTCTAACAAAGCCAAATGCACGTCAAGTACAAGTAAAATGAATCCTCACTTAGAAATATCATAGAGAAATACACTACCCTAGTTGACCCGAACAAAAAATTAATTATCTACTACAAGAGATTTAAAAGAGCTAACCTTATATTAAAAAATAACGACACACGAAAACTACAAAGAACGATCATTAATTACGAGTTCAAATGACCCTTAAGGAACTGTGTTCCTGATCAAACCGAACTCACAAATAATTACATCGGTCATACGACTAAATTATCCAGACGTCTTACGTTACACCTTTCTGACCAAGGCTCCATCAGAACCCATTTAAACACACGTACACAAACTTACTAGAATCCATCCGAAATATACTAGTAGAAAATACACGCGTAATAACTTTATCCACATGTAAAGAAAGGTTAAAAATAATGGATGCCTTAATAGTAAAAAAGAAAAAGCCAACACAACAATATTAACTACAAAAGCGCTCAGAATTACAGAACATTTGACAGTTTCTACACACTCTGTGTCTAGAAAAAAAAACACTTGTTCGAAGTCAAGAAAATCAAATAGAAAACTTAATCGCAGTACCTTGTCTGTCGGCTTTAATGAAACCTGTATAAATGAGGGATTGCTGCCTAAATACGCAATATATATATATATATATATATATATATATATATATATATATATATATATATATATATATAAAGAGAAAAAGAGAGAGAGAGAGTAATGTAGAGATAGAAATCAACACTGCAGGTTTCACTCCTTAACACAACCTTGAGACCAAGAAGAAAGCATTGAGGCGTGCAAATGACAGATACCAAGTAGTGTTGAATCCTATATTCACGCTGTCTATATATATATATATATATATATATATATATATATATATATATATATATATAATTATTTATTTTTAAAAAAATTAGAACATAAATATGTTATAAAATCACTACAAAAATAGCCATTTTGTTTCAACACCCCGGTGTCTTATCAAGTGATGATGTTGAATGTAAAAAAATCTGGGTTTTTTTTTTACATTCAACATCATCATATGATAAGACGGTCATTTTATAACATATTTATGTTATAATTTTTTTTTTAAATAAATAATTATATCTGCTCTTCTTTGTATTGAGCACTCTTTTAAGAATAGTACTTGTTGTTTATTGGAATTCATTCCGTATACACCAATTATATACTTGGATATAAACACGCTAAAATCCACTTTCCTCCCTACCGTGCGCCGATGGCTTAATGGTTGACACCAGTTCAGTCGGGTTTCGACCCTAGCTGGAGGCAACCGGATGTCTAGCCACACTGATGAGCAGCGAAACAGTCTGTCTGTGGATGACGGTATATATATATATATATATATATATATATATATATATATATGTGTGTGTGTGTGTGTGTGTGTGTGTGTGCATACATATACACATATATCGGTTATCGACGTGGAAAATGCAACCGGTATGTGACTCAAATTCATGCCAAAGTGAGTATAGCTAGTTCTTCAGCCTTGGCTGGCAATTAATCTAGGAAATAGATAACTCTGGATTTAAAAATTGTGAAGAAATCAAAGAGAAGTTACTAACTTTTCGAAGAACAGTGATGGTAATTTGCAGATATTCACGAAATGGAAGACGTGGTGAACCACAAACCCTTCCAATGTGAATAGATATGATTTTTTTTTTCTAAAAAAACATAAATATTTCAATGTTTCCCGCATACATATATGACAGGTTTTAAATTCTTGTGACATATCAATTAATACGTGCTTACATAATGGAATTTATATACACTTCATTGAGTAGATAGAAGAAATTTAGAACGTCTTATTAATTAAACACCTTGAGCCATAATTAATTTTAATTGCTGAATTAATTAATTTTCAGAAAGCTTCGGAATTTTATTTTTATTTTATTTTGTGATCTTAAACCGTAAAGGAACAAACAAGTTAATTTGATTTTTTTTTTTCTCAGCGTGAAATAAAATCAAATCTGTTGAGCCACCCGTTCTCGTATAATCACCGAAGTTAAGCAACCTCAAGCCTGGTCAATACCTAAATGGGTGTCCGCTTGGGAATACCTGGTGCTGTAAGCTTGAATGTGCGGGAGATTTAGTAGATAACAGCTCGGAATTTGGAAATAGTTGAGTTCCAATACCAGTCGGGAATGGATGTATTCACCGTTTAAGAAATAAACAGATCATCTACTCAACTATGGGTATCTCCTAAAAATAGCATTTAACGTTTAAAATAAAATATGTCGGATTAATAAGTGAAAAAAAAAACTTTCCTAAAAATTGCTGAGCTTACGTTCAGATACGAAGCTGGGTAGAGATGCGTACTTCGAGAATAGGGGAAAATTCCTTGTACAAAAGCATTATTCGGGCTTTGCTTGGCCAGTAGATACTTTGTAGCTGAGAGGTAAAAGCACGTCAGATCTAATGTCGGTTTCCTCTAGGGGAACGCAGGTCCTAATCCGGCCATAGAACGCATATTTTTCTAATACGATTTCTCGAAAATTCAGGCCGATAGATGGAAATAAATAAATATACTCTTTAATAAATAAACAGAGCATCTACTCAAATATGGATGGATAATATATATATATATATATATATATATATATATATATATATATATATATATATATATATATATATATAAGAAAGAGGTTGTAGTGGTTCCAACGAGAGAAAAGTATGTATATTAAAAAGAATAAAAGAGAGGTGCCGCAAACGTTTTTGGTTGTAATGTGTGTTTTTTTTTTAAATATTATGCTTTATTTTCCATAATTTAACTACACGTTTTTCTGGTCTCGTGACCGTCTTCGGGTAAAAGCGGAGATTTCCACATATTATTAAAAATTATTATTTTTTCCTTTATGTTTTTCAATGTTAAATATTCTCGATATGAGACATTCTCTGTTTTTGTGTTAGTAATCCGAATGTCTTTCTTGAATTGGCAATGAAGAGTTCTGCGCGGAGGGTCATAAAACAATTAAGGTTGGTCCAAGAGTAATGATGAATTACTTATCGGCATTTTATCTTTTAATGTTTTAATGACCCCTGTGTGTTCTTAGATCTGTTTCCATTTTCGTGTGTTTCTGTCAGCAAGCGTGTATATATGTGTGCGTATATTCCCCCTCCATACATATACTGTCTTACTACGAGGAATTAGTAAACTCATTTGTACACATACACACATACATGCACATACGCACATACACACCGTCCGACCACAAGGAATCAGTACATACACACATACATACACACACACATACACACATATACTTCTCAAGATACATGGAACCAGTATACACATACACACACACACACACACATACATACATACACATGTAGTTCCTAAGCTGTGTGGGGTTTGTGTGCGTGCTCGTGAGTAGTTCCCCTGTTTTGTCAACATGCGTATGTGTGTGTGTGTGTGTGTGTGTGTGTGTGTGTGTGTGTGTGTGTGTGTGTGTGTGTGTGTTCGTGTCTCCCGTATGTGAGTATGTGCTCATGTGAGTGCGCGTTCATGTATGTGAGTGATGTTATCACTGTATTTGGTCACCTTGTGTGCATGTTGTGTGCTTTTGCGTGTGGGGTTATGACCTATTTAGTTCGGGTTTAAATTTGTTTATAAAGTTTTTTTCATGTATTTGTAGATACGAGTAATTGTCTGTTTGATATATCGGCATGATATTAAACTTACCCTGGTTACATTTGAAAATGTGTTGTGATACAAAAAGTTTTCTGTTGTCTGTCAATTTTATATTGCTTTTGTGTAGGGAGACCCTGTTGTTCAGTTGTTGGCTGATGCCTATATATGACTTCTTACATTTTGTGCATTTAAGTACAAAAATTACATTTTTGGAGTTGCAGTTTAAGTTTTTATTTATTGTGAATGTTTTTTAGGGTTTTCAAAAGTGTAGGAGTTTCCTTCTATAATGATGTCACAAACCCCACATCTTTTTTGTTGCATTTTGTGACTCCCTGTATTGTGTGTTGGTTAAAATTAGATGAGGTTAATATGCGTTTTAGGTTTTGAGATTGGCGTTTGCTTTTAATTATTTTGGTTGTTTTTAGTATATTATTCAGTTTATTACTCTTGCTAAGTAGGTCTAGATTTTTTGTAATTTCTGTGAATATTTCTGGATTGTTTTTGTTGTATGTTGAGACATAAGCTAGAGTTGGTTCCACGTCACGTTTCTTTTTATTTCTAAGTTGGTCTAGAGGAATTTCTTTCGCGAATTCAATACCTTTGTTTATTAGTTTTGTAGGGTAGCCTCGTTTTTTTAGAGTTTTATGTAGTTATTCTAATCGGATTTTTCGGAGGTGTTTATTAGTCACTATTGTACAAATTCTACGTACTAGGGAATAGGAGATGGATTTTAGGCAATATATATATGAGGCACGTTGGAGTAGTGGATAGCAGGGTTGATGAATCGGAGAACCGAGTTCAAATCCAATCAAATCCATTACATTCATTTAGGTGTTAATAACTTGGATATGGCGACTGAATTTGAAACCTGCAGACGGTCGTTTGAAGACCTTGTGGCAAGTCTCTGTATTCGGCCCTTCACAAAGTGTGGTTGGTTCTGCAATGGTCTGGGCTGGAGGTTCCTAGGAACTGAGCTGTTTGAACCTCATACGTCGTATACGACGGGAGAGTCCACCAATGACGTTAAATCCTTTGAAAGGATATTCCTAGTCGTAACCAGAATTTCTCGCTCACGCAATCATTGAACGCTTATTTATATATATATATATATATATATATATATATATATATATATATATATATATATAATATTAAGACATTAAGATCATTTTCTTCAACTTTTCATATTTTATATATATATATATATATATATATATATAATATTAAGACATTAGTTGCATTCGTATCATTGTCTTCAACTTTTTCATCAACACAACGCATCCGGCCTTCTTCGGGTATTCTTCAGGGAATTTAGAATTAAACCGTTTATTTAATCTTCTTTTATGTGTTGTGTCCCTTCAGGGCGTGGGCGATGATGGCTCTCCATATCTTCCTGTCGCTTGTAGCTCTTAATATGTTTTGTCTTCTTGTTATTTCTCTCAAACCCTGTTATACCATCCATTTGCACAAACCCATCAAGTATGTTAAGTACTGCTTTCCTTTGTCACTCTATCAATCTATCCTGTAAGTATTAAATTTTCTAAGCCCTCCTTCCTTATTACATGCTCCAGAAATTTCAACCGCATCTTCCTGATGTTATCCACAGCATCTTTTTGTAGAACCACATTTTCTGTTGCTTCAAGTCTCTTCTTCATCTTTGAGGAGATTGTTAGCATTCGCTTGCCATACACAAGGACAGATAACACGTAACATTTCAGTACACTTTTCTTTGTTTCCAACGAAATTTTCTTGTCTCTTAATACTTTGCTTAGCTTTTGAATCTTGTCTCTCCTTGTTCTTCGTTTACTACTGCTTAGTTTCTGCTTACTTTAATCCTCTTAGCTATTGTCCACGCGAGCAATTGTGAGTAGATTCTCTGGGACGGGGGGTACAAAATTTGTTGCGGAAAGGATTCCTTAGATCACCGTTTGAATAAAAAAAATGAGAGAGATTGTTTCGTGATCAAATAAAATGATATTTATTTAAATGTAGGATATACAAATTTTAACTATAATTAGTTATCTTGAAAGGAAAGTTAGCATGTTCTTCTCTTTGACTGTAAGGAAATGAACATGAATAGTCTTTCAGCGAGGAAGAGATTCCATGCCTTACCGTTTGTTGAATTAAAAAAATGAGAGAAACAGTAAGATACAGAAATGAAATAAAAATTGTTTTCTTTGACTGTAAGTAAATGAATATAAATAGTCTTTCAATTAGGAAGAGAGGAAGTGGAGTTGGGAGGCAAGGTCAAAGGGAATCCGCTGTTGCTTTGACGAGAAAGACAGAACGACGAGGTTGTCTCGTGTCTCTTCACGGCTGTTAGTCCTTCTGCCGAGTTGAAAGAATATTTGCTTTTTATGACATAGTATAGTCTCCAGAAGCCTGTGTTTATTTATTGGCAGATGATTTTATTGGCTATTTATTTTTTTTAAATTGAAAATTTTAAGTATATTTGAAAGCCGGAAAGCTGCGCGTAGCCCTTGCGTGGTGTGTTTAATTTTGTCATTTACTTCTTTGCTTTGATGGTGTTCAATTCCACTTACCCTACAACGCTCAGTAGTAACTGAGCTGGCAATAACTAAGCAATAACCTCAAGATGGGTGCAAAAGAGATGGATTCCCCAAGTGAACGCTACAGATTAGGGAGCATTTGAACCCGTCTTGCCGCTTCTATTTTACGCGTCGATAAAATCGTTAAAATTGGCATTATGGGGACACTTGTCCGTATAAATCAATGTATAATAGTCAGAACATATCATTTTAAAAATTCAGGGCTAATTTAATCATCTCTTTACTTATAACTATAAATAACTGGAGAGACAGCGAGATTAATTGTGAATCAAGATGATCCAATATGGCCGATGAGAATTCCCTTTCTTCATTACTAACCAAGTAACGTTTAACTCGACAAGAAATTCTATGAATCACTCACACATAACTTGGAGCGACGCGCGGAAAATCTTGAGATCTAAAAACTGCGTTATCAACACTTTCTTCGTATTTAGTAATTTGTACTTAAAAAAAAAATTACTGAAGTAAAATCAAACAAGCGTAGAAAACAGAAGAAAAGACTGAACGAGTTCAAAAGATCGGAAGTCGTTAACTTCACATACTCCTTTGCTATGACGTCATACAGGGATCGATGTGACCCCTGTAGCAAGGTCTGAACATGCGCAGAGTAAGCGTGATGTCATAAGCTTACGCCCATAGCTGAAGAGTTGTGTCTTGGTTTCGACGCCAGGATTATGTTTTAGAGCTGTTTCTATTAAAAAAAAAAAAAAAAAAATGGTTCTTCGGCTGTTTTTTTTTTTTTTTTAATAACTCCAGAATTCCTTTTTTTTTTTTTTTTTTTACAAACGGTTTCTGTTAATTTAATCCGGTGTTTCAGTTATCAGCCTCTAATTTAAACATTCCTATTTTCTTTTAGGGTAATGAGCA